GCAGCTTGTGCTTGAAGCCAGCCAGTCTTTGGTTTGAATCCTGTTTCCTTTTGCACTGATTTGTGATCTTAGGACACAGTCGATCTCTTGTACACTAATTCTTTCAACTACGAAATTTGTGAGATTAGCCTAAGTGTCCCAAAATTGGTGTGCAGATTAAGAGAAACAGTGCATATGATGTGCCTGGTGTACAGGCAAGCTGTTCTCTTCTGTTACTGTTGTCTTAGAAATATTTTGAAGTCAATTTGAAAGGAAGGTGTGGAATTATGTAATTTTAGCCTGGGTGACTGGATGAAAGACAGGGCTATGAAGAGAGATACTTACGCGGTTGTAGAGAGGAGGTGCTGTTTTGTGAAGGATGGTCCAAATGAGGAGATAATGGAAGTGGGCAACAAGGAGTGTGTCTCCCAAGAGGAGCCAGGGACTGCAGGTGGAGGTGGGGATCACTTCCTTAGAGGGGGTTTCTCGAGATATTGAGAGCGACAGATGCAGAGAGAGATTGCAGGTCTTAGATCAGCCTGGGAAAGGGGAACATGCTTATTTAAAGAGTAGACAATTAAGGCAATGCAAATTTGAGAAGAAAGAGGCCAAAGATCACATACCTTAGAGAAGAAAATAAAAGGAAATTGTGGGTGACCTCAGGACAATTTCTTAAGTTTGGGTGTGTGGGGATGGGGCCAAGAATGTTGGTAGAGACTTGAGTACAGCATGGGGAACACACAAATATAGAGTGACATATTGAAACCAAAAATTAACAAGGGATACTTAGCCTGCAGGCCCGACAGTCACAGAACTCCCTCTGTGATTTAGAGCAAGCCATATCATGTTTCTAAGGCTTTATTTTCTTGATTTAAAAACTCTTCCAATGCCCAGACGAGCAGTTTCCTTCTGTCATTGTGATTTTATGATTCTCTTTGAAGACCTTTGGCCAAGAAAGAAGGTCGTTGAGCATATAAGGAAGGCACCATGGGAAATGTTGGATAGAAGAAATGGCAGTGTGATTGTGCCCCAGGTGGAGTGAATCAATGCTCTTCAGAGCACTGAGTTGATGTTTTATTTTATCACAAAAGAGAATAAGTCAAGTCCATTGAGATAAAAGCAAGGTACCCTTTCATAAAAAATATGGACCAGACCAAAGCCCTCCCTTCCAGTGGCCATGGTCTAATCAGAGAGCCCTGAACCAGTAACTGTAGCAGACCAGGTTTAGGTGGCTGGGCAGGACATTGATTCCTTTGGAGACAGGAGAGGATCTGCTTAATTTTGAAGAACTGGTAGCCCTTTACAGCATGAGTGACCTTCTGGGAAGAAAAGGATACAACGCAAGGAAATGTTATCCTGAAATATGTTAAAATGTGATATATGTTCTTAAAATTTGTTTGCTATAGGTGTATGTGAAATCTGAATAGGAAAAATAACAATGGGGAGGTAGGCAAGAGTTTATCAAAGTTTTGTACCTTACATATCTTTGTTTAGGGTTGGAGAAACATTGGGTGGTATGCATCAGGAGAAATGTTTTAGAATGATGAGACAATAGGATATATGTGGCAGAGGAAGTATATTGTCACACAAATTTATATGTAGATATAAATATGGAAATACGTGAGAAGTCACTCCCAGTTATAGAAATATTGAAATAACGTTTGATTTGGATAAAACAAAACAAAGATATGGTACTACAATTTATGCCAAGTCCTACATTATGTTTATATTTCAAACTATATAATGCTTTACTAGAACATGACTATGCCGCCCTTCTCCCCGCATGCCAAAACCCTGAAGAAATTAAGGTCAGACTTACATAGAATTTCAGATGATGCAGGGAATCAGACATTTGTGTTAAATGTTTTGATAAGCATATACTGATGCCAGTTCCTATTGCTTACAAATAAGACACCTGTGCCTAAAGTGGCTCACCAATGTTTTCATACGCCTTACATTGGTGTATAACCAGTGGCCTGGTTATTCTAGGATATTCAAGCCATTGGGTTTCATTTAACCATCAAGAAAATTGTCTTTTTTTTTTCCCCAGTAACATAGATTTGTTTCCATATGTAGTCATGACATGTTTCCAAATAGTTTAAATCAATCTGAAAAAATTTAAAAGGGACAATCCAGGAGAAAAACCCTTACATAGCTTGCACTTGTTTTAGATAATGTATTGTGTTAATTCAGATAATATTGTCTTTCCTTCTACATATGAGAGAGTAATGTTTACACTGAAACAAATGCTGCCAAACTGTGGACTGCGGGACATGGGGGCGCCAGTGCAGAGGTTAATATGGGTCCGTGTTACTCCACACCCTGTAAAACCACAGTGTGGATAACACAGTCCATTTTGTTAATGGAAAATGTGAGCCTCCTGTGGGATACACAGAACTTCAAGGTTTTCTGCCATTTGCCATACTCTAAGCCAATGTCTGGAGAGGCACAGAGCCTCGTGGGAAGGCTGAGTGTGCCGAGGGCAGGGTCCTGCTCTCAGAGTGGGTACCTTATGACTCTTGGTGCTAAATATGATGCAGAGTGACCTGAGTCTGGCACACACGGTCAGACAGTAAGCATGTGTTTAATGAGTGCATCACTGTTTATAATTATAATTATTCCAACATTTTTTCCTTTTTAAAGTAGCCTTGTTTTTTTTTTTTTTAAATGTCTATAGATAAAATTCTAATGCAAGAATTTTATGGAAGTTTCTAGATCCTAACTAAGCAAAATGAAAACCAAAAGATTTATGTTAAATAATACTTAATGTTCTAATAGGGAGACACCAAAATTAATAGATGTTGATGCTTTGGTCTCTTGTGAGTTCAGTCTGCACTCAAATGTTTGAATGTTTTGTTTATTATGGTTGTCTTTGTTAATAAAACTAACAGTATTTATTGAATATAAAACCCCATGATAAAAGCATTACATGTATTTAAAAATTTTTTTCAGACCACTGTATAAAGTTTTTGTATAGATAAAGGCACTGTAATTTTCTCATGGTTGCATGGCTAGCAGTAAGCTATGAACCCCTAAAATCTCTTCTTAAGGTTTTAAATTTTATATGCTAGTATGCAATTGAGTTTTATAAGGTTTGTTATAAATGTAGCTGTGTTTTTAATATCTTGAAAGAATATATTTAATCACAAATTTGTGATTTAGGTAACCTCAGCATATTTACCTGGTAAGTTCAAACTGAACATCATAATTATGATTTTAATCATAAGCTATACACTCCGTTTTATTTGTGACCTTAGATATTGAGTGGATCTCTAAACTAATGTGAAAGACAAGAATAATACATTTCTATGTGTTTGCAATCTGGATGAATGAGACATAATGTGAAATTATATATGCTGAACTCATGAGGACGTGTACTACATCTTTAGTGGCTGCTATTTCACATTTTATGTTTAACATTCTCTTGTTTCTCAAAAAGTTAAGCACAGTGGAAAATTTTAGGGATTTCATAAAATCACTTTAAAATTCAAGATAGTTTCAGTGTGAGAAAAGTAACACATATATGGAACTTAAAAGAGCTCATTGGAAGTCATTAAAATTACACAAAAAAACATTTTTCCCAAACATATCTATGCCTCATATTTTTTAAAAATAATTATAGTGGATCTTTTTTACATTATCCTGTAACCAGAAATGTGTGTGTGTGCATGTATGTGTGTAAGAGAGAGAGGGACAGAGAGAGGAGAGAGACATACATGGAGGGAGGAGAGAGGAGGCAGGAGGACAGATGGAAATGGAGAACTTGCTTATTCTAGTACCTGAGAATTTTATTGGTGATGTAAAAAATTCAAAAATTAAAATTGAGATTTTTAGATTTAAGTTGCATTGTGATGTCAGTTATGTACAAAATGAAATGAAGCATCATTGGCAAATGCCTGATCTTTCTGTATAGAAAATGCAATACACTCTAATAGTTGAAACAAAATTTTTAAAAAAACTATACTTTCAAGGAAAACATAATCCATTCTCAGGATATATTTCTTTTTCTTAATTTGCAATTTAGAAAAAATATCAAATCTTAAGAAATAAAGTAGATTATTATAGTGCTACTTATGCGTGGGTCAAATTAAAGTGAATTATATGTAAATTTCATATTGTTAATGAAAACAGAAGTAAGAAATTTAATATTAGCATATTGGGTATTAATTAGCACATTTTGTGTGATTTTTTTTTCAAAAATACTACAGAGATAACATCATATGCTGTTTCTAGCATTAATAATCTTTTTCAATTTTTATTATTTAAATATAAAGTCACAATTCCATGTGGAACACTATTTTCTACTTGCAAGTAAATTTGTATTTTAACAGAGGAAAGAAGTGAATAGGCTTAGCCTCAATACTATAAGGATAGCTACTTGCTATACATTATTTTTATTGACCATAATCATATTTTACAATCTTTAACCCTCTGTCCACAACTGGATGCCTTTTAAAACATGGCACTACATGAAATGACTTGTTTATTGTGTAAGTGATGCTTCATTTTTTTTCTGGTTTATTCTGCAAAGGTTTTTAAAATGCTGACTAAAAGATTGTAAGAATATTTTGTAGGTTCATTTCCGTGCTGTGTCTCCTTGCTTTGCTGTGTTACATGGATTACTTTATTAAATAGTAACTGTCAAAACATTGGATTGTGTGGTATATGCAATTAAAAACGGTGTCACTGTTTCTGTACATGCTGTACATGAAAGTGATCCCTTGGGTCTCCCAAAATGAGCCTTTAACATTCCAGACTCTTTACTGTGCATGCTGCTGGCATCTAGCCTCCCACCCACACATGCGAGGACTCAGTAAATGGAGCTGATGCTAGTGCCATAAAGTACATAAAGATGAAGTTCCTAAGTGGGAAGATGGCAGCCTTACCAGGGGTTGCTGAAATTTATTCACCTAGAAGGCTGTGTACATTTGTGAAAGCAAGCAGACTGCATACGTAGCAGAACCTAGAAAGTACATTCTAAGTGACATTTCTTACATGTCTTTTTGTGTTATGTATTGCAGATGGGGTTCATACAGCTCAATGAGGACTTCATATTTATTGAGCCACTCAATGATACAGTGGCCATAACAGGTCACCCTCACCGTGCTTATAGGCAGAAAAGGTCCACGGAGGAAAAAGTCACAGAGAAGCCAGCCCTTCACAGTCCTTACTGTGGTGTCATTTCAGGTAATGCCCTGTCCTGTAAGGATTTCACTGCATATGTGATGTCCGCTGAATTCTTTAAAACATTTGCCCATCACTCTGGCCCTCTCATCTACCTGTCGCTCCCCCATTTGCGGAGGAACGACACAGGACCCTGCGCTGTTCTTTTGTCTGCTCGGCCCTTCCCGGGTTTGCTGCTGGTCCTTCCCGGGTTGGCTGGCAACCCCTCCACCTCCGTGGAGGGGCGGTTCCCCCTGCCACTTTCCCCACTTCCGCGGGGGAGTGGCCCACCACCGGCCGGCTCTCTCGGGGGCTGCTCAGATGTTATCCGGATGTTCCTGGTGTATGTTGTCTCTCTCCTCCTTTATAGTCCTCTTCCACCAATCCCAACTCTGCTACCCACACGCCAAGCACGCTGCTCTCCTCCAATCAGGAGCAGCTCCTGCAGTTTATTGGTCGAACTGGAGGCAGCTGCGTAGAAGCTGTTTACTCCTCTCCCAGCGCCATATTGTGGGAGAGCAGATGCATAGAATAAGTCTTAATTCCAGTAACTTAGTCTAGTCCGAGTTGCTCCCCACACTACCTACTAGCATTATTTATGATATAGAATCTGTTTTTGGTTAAAATTAACTAAGTCTATTTTAGAGTTTTAGTTTTCTTGGAAGCATGATTACATTTGAATATCAAAGAATGGAAACTAAAAAGGATCTTGGAGATTAACATAACACGCCATATACCTTTCTTGATCCTGTTCACTTCCCTGGAATAGAAATGGCACTGAGAGAATTGCACATCTCCTGAAACTGAATACCAAAATAAGCTCATAGCTTATTTTAGGCTACTTCTGTGAGAACATCACAGATATCTCTTTACTTTGGCTAGAAGCATCATTTTTTTTTAACCGATCTAAAAAGTCATCGTGGAGGTTAACATTAGTGGAATTAGAAGACGGTTAACGGTTTATGCTTTAAAGTAGATTTTTACTTCAAAATTTTAAGATAAGTATCTGAATCCCTAAGTCTGGAGTTTTTCAGAAGCTCATAAACATTCCAGCCATCAAATCCTCATCTCTTTTGGCTGCCAGTGCTTGACAGAAGTGAAATGAGGGTGACTGCTTCGTGTACTTGCTTGCTTCCGTTAGGCAGAGATCTGTGACATTTGCAGGAATGCTAAGGAAAATGAAAGAGTTCTGTTACATTAACAGAACTTGAAAGTCACAGCCAACATTTAAAAAAAATTAGAGGGTTTCCTAGGAAAAATCTTTAGACATCTAATCCAGAAATCTCAGTGAATATTCAGTACTGTGGGCAATATTTCCAAGAGGACATGTGAATTCATGAAGAATTTTTGGTTTAAAGACTAAATTTTAATGTCGTTGGTGCCAATTCTAAAATTGGTTACGACATTTGAGGCTAGTTTAGGTTGTCAATTGTGGCAATAAATAACATTTGCAGAGGTCATAAGATGTTCATGTCATTGATTGCCTAGGGTGTTCAGATTCAGATAAAGATTACAATGTGTTAATATTTAGAATATATTTATATGAAATTAATCTGTGTTTTCAAATGTATGTATGAAAGCTTGTGTTATCAATCTGTATAGGAATTATCTTTAAAAGTGGTCATGAGTCTCTCTGTCACACTATTCAGTGTACATATTCAAGTCAATTTAATAATATATCCCTCATCCCTATTCTAAGAACTGTAGATACAAAGGAGATAAAGATACCTCAACTGAAGTTACAGCGTTAGCAATAAGTAGAAAACAGGATAAGAAAACTTTGGGTTTGTGAAATGATAAAAACAACAACAAAAACTTGGATTTAATTTACTTAGAGATTTTTTGTGAGTTTTGCTGACAGTCTGCTGTTTACTTTTGGATGAGTATGTTTCAGCTGTTGTAATCACTCACATCCACTGAGGATGAGTGTAGGCTTTGCATGCCGTCATACATGGAGAACAGTTTTCTTAAGTTAATAAAGCATAACTGCAGGGTTTGTATTTGGCAGAAATTAATCATAATGTTTCTGATAGGTTTTTAAGGTGAGACTGTTGAATGTTAATGTTCACTCGCTTGTTTCAGGGACTGGTATGCAAGCAGTGTTAGGCTATGATCACATAGATGATTTACTAAGCTCATCTGTTTTAAGATGCTTTTAAAGGCCAGAAATTCTAAAATAGTTTAGGAAGTAATAGTTCTTAAAATAAATAAATATTCATTCGTCTGAACTGATATGCGCAACTGTAGCTCTCCTATCTTGCTTCAGGCTTATGTGTTGGCATATTAATACCATGGCTCAACTTTAAATAATGTTAAGGTATTTATCTCTATAAAGTAGAATTATGAAATTCACTTATCTTTAGTCTGAATTTTCCACTCTACCCTTCTCATCATTTTAATGTTTTTGGCAGATTAGAATGTTTATATGTGTTGATTGCATGAATTTTCCCAAATAGAGATCTTCCTATTTTAGGACGAGTTTCCTGTGTTATTTATAAGTGATGTAGAGGAAGGGAGGGCACATGAGGTTCAGACAGAGGCCTCAGGTTCAGGGCTCGGCTTTGGTCTCACTCCAGCTAGGTAATCTTGTGCAATTCCCTTAAACCTTTGAGCCTGGGCTTCTTTATTTGCAACATAAGCACAGTTGGTCTCCTTACAGGAATGTTGAGCTAAATGACACAGCTCCTATTCTCAAGAGGTGAAGCATATGTTATTTTAGACACACTGGTAAGTCAGCAAGTATACTGTAGTGTAATAAGAATTGCAAGAGACTCAAGCTTTTGAGGGTGGGTACTTGATTCTCAAAGATCAAGTAAAACTTATCAAGACTAGGGGGAGAAGAAGGAAAGGGGTGTGCAGGTTAAGATCATGGACTTTAGGTTCAGGCTGCCAGGGTTCACATCTCTATGCTACCGCTTCCTTAACTTTATCTCTCTAATGACCCATTCCTAATACGGAAAATGGGGTAGTGATACCTGAACTTGAAGACTGTCCTTAGAATCAAGTGAGATTATGTGTGACAATTAAAAACCTATGTGGGTATTGTCACATACATTGTTATATGTCAGTGGGGAAGATGTTTCAGTGAAAAGAAACACCACACGTTGGCCGGCGCCGTGGCTCACTTGGCTAATCCTCTGCCTGCGGCACCAGCACCCAGGGTTCTAGTCCCAGTTAGGGCGCCGGATTCTGTCCTGGTTGCCCCTCTTCCAGGCCAGCTCTCTGCTGTGGCCTTGGGCCCTGCACCCGCATGGGAGACCAGGAGGAAGCACCTGGCTCCTGGCTTCGGATCAGTGCAGCATGCCAGCCGTAGTGGCCATTTCGGGGGTGAACCAAAGGAAAAGGAAGACCTTTCTCTCTGTCTCTCTTTCTCTCACTGTCTAACTCTATCTGTCAAAAAAAAAAAAAAAAAAAAAAGAAAGAAAGAAAGAAAGAAAGAAAGAAAGAAAGACCACACGTGAAAGTGTAAAGGCATGAGAAAGCATCAACTGGAAAGCAAAGACAAATGTCAGCACTTAACCAGCCATGCAGAAGGAATCACAGGTTGAATAAAGAAGGACTTGTGAGTCCTGGCAAGGACTTTTTCTGCAAGTTACAGTATCAGTTTGTGTCACTTACCATTAGTGTACACTGAAGAGGAATGGGACTCAGAATTAAAAAGAGATTTATGGAATTTATAGTCAAGGTTTGAGCAGGGTGGAGAGATCATTCCATTCTTTTTTTTTTGCCAGGCAGAGATAGACAGTGAGAGGGAGACAGAGAGAAAGGTCTTCCTTCCCTTGGTCCACTCCCTTAATGGCCACTACGGACGGCACTGCGCCGATCCAAAGCCAAGAGCCGGGTACTTCCTCCTGGTCTCCCATGCAGGTGCAGGGCCCAAGGACCTGGGCCATCCTCCACTGCACTCCCGGACCACAGCAGAGAGCTGGACTGGAAAAGGAGCAACCAGGACTAGTACCCAGTTCCCCAACTGGGACTAGAACCCAGGGTACCAGCACCACAGGCGAAAAATTAGTCTAGTGAGCCACGTCGCCGTAGAGATCATTCCATTCTTAGAAGTGACTTACCGGCTGGCGCCGTGGCTCACTAGGCTAATCCTCCACCTTGCAGCGCCGGCACACCGGGTTCTAGTCCCGGTCGGGGTGCCGGATTCTGTCCCGGTTGCCCCTCTTCTAGGCCAGCTCTCTGCTGTGGCCCGGGAGTGCAGTGGAGGATGGCCCAGGTGCTTGGGCCCTGCACCCCATGGGAGACCAGGAGAAGCACCTGGCTCCTGGCTTCGGATCAGCACAGTGCGCCAGCCGCAGCGGGCCAGCCGCAGCGGCCATTGGAGGGTGAACCAACAGAAAAAGGAAGACCTTTGTCTCTCTCTCTTTCATTGTCCACTCTGCCTGTCAAAAAAAGTAAAAAAAAAAAAAAAAAAAAAAAAAAAAAAAGTGACTTATGCAGGCCACTACTCCATCCCTAACTGGAGTGCAGACTGGAGTGCAGACTGTTGCCGGTGTTGGGAGCACATTATGAAGAGCACGCACTGAGCACTGGAACACATTTTCAGACGTCCTCTCTCACAGTATGAACTGTGTTTCACACGTGCACATGGATAGAAAATGTTCACAAGGTTTAGGAAAGGAAGAGCAGGCTCACAGAGCTGAGGACAGTGAGAACATCAAAGGAAACCGCTCAATGAAAAGGCTGTTCCATGTTCATGATTTTCACACACAGTGGTCAGCCTGTGTGATGGAGGCTACCAAGAAGTGGAGAATCTCCCAGGTAACCTACTTAAATGTAAATGAAAATAATGACATAAAAGGCTGACAGATGGGGCCAACACAGCTGTCATTGGCTGGGGTGATAAGGGAAAGAAACTTGTGTGTCCCACTTTACGTGATCTGTCTACTGCCCTTATAGACTGAAGCCTTTGTCAGCTCTTCTTCTGGATTCTGTTTTAGTGTTTTTGTTAAGCCTCTGTCTCCGCTATGGTCATGTCTGCCTCGATGTGTTCACTCTCTGAATGTTGTCTTTCTCAG